TTCTTATTTCTACAAATACTGCTGTTCGCAAACAGTAACCATTCAGTTATTGAGGAAAAAAAGAAATAAAACTATCAAAACAAATCTGTTATTGATTGGTATAACAGGACAATAACGCAGAAGAAAAAGCTAGAATACAAAACGTCATACTCTTACTATAAAAAGTAAAATCTTATAATGATAAAACTATACATTGGACGATTAGCGAGTGTAATATGGCTGTACAGAATCAACAACAAAAAGCCCAGTAGAGCCAAGTGTTTTTTTTTTCTTTTCGAGTGATTCACAGCTTTATAAAAGCGTGATTTTTGATTGAACAATTCCACCAACAATAATAAACAAAGGCATAAAATTTAAAGTATCAACTGATTGAATCGTCTAAGTGATAAACATAATGTTTTTTTTACACTTTATAATAACAAAGAGCTACTACGATACAACAACTATTAAAACAGTTCATAGATTAATCCCTGATTTAGATGTTGTTTGTCCTTATAATACCCTATAAATAGATTGCTGCAGGGGTATAATTAAGTGTAAAAAAAAATGCACTTTCTTTTTGTGTTTTTTTTCGACACGATTAATCAAATAAGACTAAGCAAAATAGTTAGACAACAGCGACGACAGAAGTAGTAAAATAAGTTAAAAATAAAATCTTATAAATTGCTTTACAAATATTTTTTAACAAATCAAAAAAGAAGTGAAACACTTTGCTTTTTTTCAACACTATCCTTTTTGTAGGTGATCGTTTTTGGGTTCCTTTTTTTTTTTTATAAATTTTATCAAGATAGAGAACTGTTAAATGTTGAAACTGATATCAATGAAAAGTTATTGTTAATAAAACTTGCTGAAAAAAAAGGTGAATTCTAAATACAATTTAGGTGGTATATTTTGTTGAAAATAACAAAGGCAAACAAATGGACTGGGTTAAATAGATGTTTGAAGAAAGAATAAGAAGACGATGATGTTGATGGTGATGATAAAAAAGAAGATAAAGCAATATGTGAATGAACAGTTATGTTAATACCAAAAAATTTGTTGTTCAGTTAACAAGATAAAATGCTGATATGTTGTCGAACATTTTGATAGACAGGATATTGCTGTTGATGAACAAAATGAAGAGCCAAGTAACTCATGTTCTGTTGTAATCCGCTGCTGTTGCCGCTGCTGTTGCCGCTGCTATTGCCGCTGCTGTTGCTGTTGCTGCCATCGCTGCTGCTGCTGCTGCTGCTGCTGCTGC